TAATTATTCCTTTTTTATTCACGTGTTTTAAAAAATGATAATAATAAAATGAAAAATATTTATTTATTTATGAGAGAAGACTTGACTCAGAATCTGACTCTAAGGCCTACATATTATGTGATAGGGTTCAAAGTTCACATAGTTTGGACTTCAAAGTTGTTGTTGAAAATATTTTTTTGAAGAAAAATTAATTATAAATAATTCACTATTTTGCAAATAAAATAATTTTCTGAAATTTGATACGTGTGTTTTAAATTACAAAAAGAATTTAATTTCAATTATTTTCTCAATTTTTCAATTTTTGGAATAAGGAAAGAAAAGAGTTTAAAATTATTATTATTATTATTATTATTATTATTATTATTTATATTTTATGATTGAAAATTTAATCGCTATACCTGTAGAATCTTATTGGTTCATACGGTAATGCAATTGCTCTAAATATCTGTGGAGCTTTCAAAATCTCATACGATAAAAGATTAAATAATATACATTTAAGTACATTTTTAATTTGATTGGTTTAATATATAATTTATACATATATATATATATATATATATATTAAAAACTTAATCGTTATATCTGCAGAGTCTTATTGACTCATACGATAATATGATTATCTTAAAAGTCTACGGAGATTCAAAATCTCACATGACTAAAGATATAATCAGTACATATAATTACAATTTAAATACAATAATTTAATTAATTAATTTTTCTAAATTGTGTATTATATCATTATTCACAAAAATCATTTATTTATTATAGAAATTGAGAATCACTAGGGTCCGTTTGGATTTTAGTTGGATATAATAGATTATAAAAATAATTGATTAAGTGGTAGATTTTAATCATAATTGATTATGTTATAACGCAATCTTTTTGGATATTATTTTTTTAAAATTGATTTTAACAAAATTGAAGATATTTGGATAATTTAATCAAAATTAATTTTTACCTATATAAATTACTATATAATTTAATTTTTAAATATCAAATATTAATTTTTTAAATATACAAAGTTTAAATTTTATTAAGGAAAAAAAGAGAGTTTAATTTTATTTTTATTAAATTATGTGCTTTCTTTGTAATTTTTTCTTGGGCCTGTTTTTGTAATTTTTCCCAACATTTTTTACAAACGTTTATCAGGAAGCTGATCGAAGTAGCTTACGGGGAAACGTGCGTATGGAGGTCAAAATCGATTTTCACCTTTTCTGACCGTTTGGCTAATTTACTGAAGAATCGATTTTGGAGGGGGACAATCGATTTTTTCCCCTATCCAAACACACACTACATATGTGAGGACTTATTATCCCACACAATGATGTGACTAATTTAAGTCTCTATAAAGATTCTTGAGATCTCATATGAGACTTAAATAAATTATTAATTTAAATTATAAAAATAGAGTTAATTTTAATGAAGGGCCTTTGAAATCCATATAAGTTTTACTCCCATATCTGCGAAACTTTATTGATTTACATGATACAAGATTATCCTAAATATTTGTAGAGATTCAAAGTCTCACACAATAAAAGAATTAAATAATATTTACTTTAAATATATTTTAATGTGTAATTATACAACGTATATTTTTATTTTTAAATATAGAGATCTTAATCGTTATACCAACAAAGTCTTATTAACTCACATGGTAGTACGATTATCCTAAAAGTCTATGAAATTTTAAAAGTCTCACGTGACCAAAAGATATAATTAGACAATATAATTATAATTTAAATTTATTAATTTAATTAATTAATAAAAAACATTTATTATTTTATTTACAAAAATTATTTATTTATGTAATATATACAAATTGAGAATCATGATATTTGTAAGGATATATTATCCCACACGATGATGTGATTAATTTAAGTCTTTATGAAGATTCTTAAAATCTCACATGAGACTTAAATATTTATTATAAAAATAGAATTAATTTTAATAATGGACCTTTGAAACCCATATAAATACATACAAGTCTTATTCTCATATTTGTAAAATTTTATTGATTTACATGATATCAAATCATTTAAATTTTTACAAAGATTATTAAAATCTCACATGGAAAATAAATAAACATAAATATGTTTTTTTGTCATTATTATTAAAATCTCACACAGTATGAGATTATCATCGTCGTCATCATATATTTTGGATTTAATCAATGATTTGGAGTGTATTTGAAAAGCAACATTATTTTCAAATGCAATCTTTTGTCTCTCGTTATCTTCCTTCATGCTTACACAATTGCTAATAATCAAAACCACTCAACCACAATATTTAATTCAATATCTTATTCTAACTCATCCTGCACTACTTGTGTTAATACAAGGACCAAAATTAAGTTAGCATTCAATTGAATTCAAGATCAATAGGATTACAAGGGGAACAAGGAATCAAAAGTTGATATATACCCATGTATGTGTGGTGTCTCAATCAACAAGAGATGTCAAGTATATTTATACAAACACTCTTCACAAGTAAACCAAAGATGTGATCTTAGGATGCAACCCCAGTGTTTGATTCTCAAGTGCTTAGAAGCTAAAATTTGATAGAACTATCCCTTTGGCCATTAAAGGACACAAGATCACTTAGAATTTTATTAGTAAAAAGTTAGTGATCCAAGCCAACTTATGTCACTGGCATAGAAGCTTAGAAAGAAAAAGGAAAAATATGATTGGAACCATGACCTTTATTTGAAAGTCTCAAAACAGAGAACATGTTCTCATTTTTGAAGGCCTTATTTTAGACACCCTCATAACAAAAATAGTAATCATAATTTTGAGAAAGGAAATATATTGCCAATACATCTTCAAGCACATAAAAAGCTTTAAACATGCATAAATCGCCAAGGTGAAACAAACATTCCTTACGTACAAAATAAACCCAGTGAGCAACCTATTATAATGACATATAGGCATCACAGCATTAACAAATCCTACTAGCAGAACATATCATTTAAACCTTTGCTAACATAGCCACCAATCTTACAGGCAAAGAGAGCAATTTTTTTTAAACATAGAAATATCCATTACGAAGGTGCATATTGCAGTTATGAGGTCTCCTTCATGCATTATATTTCATTGGCTGACAGGTATGCACAGTACACATTTAATTTGGATTAACGCTAGAAGTGAAAGCCTCAATTAGTCCCAAAGGAGAATGAATCTATCAAGTACCTTCTAGAATAGATTAGCCAAACTATATAAACCGAGTTGAATGCACCTCAAGAGGATGATATTCATGAGAAACACCAGCCCATTCCATGTATGTTGGAAGAACGATAATCAAAATGAAGCTAAATCATGATAGTTCGCTTCGACCCATCAGCAACACTAGCTGAGCCAGCTTTGAGACTCTATGCTTGGCCTTCCTTCGGCTTTCCCTTGCTCTTAGTGCTTTGTCCAGACTTCCCTCTTCTCTCTCACTTAAACACTCCACCGCCTCCTATTCTCTTTCTCGGTCCTTGTTCAGCTACCACTACTCTCTTTTCTTTTTCGTGTGTTTGTTCTCTCACTCTCAGTCTCCTTCTCATCTCTCACTCTCTGTCTCCTTCTCGTTCTCCATTTTGCGTCTGTGCTCTCTCACTCTCCCTCCAACTTCTCCTCTCTCACTCTTCGTCTCTCTGTGCTTTATTCTTTCTTTAATTTTCGGCCTTTGTCTCTTTCTCGTTCGTTCTCACCTCCAGGAGAAAAAATTCGATCCTCCTCTAGATCTTTGCATGAAAGATCCCTTTATTATTGAAGCTCGGGCTCTTCCTCTTGCCGTGCATGTGTTATGCATTTCTTTCTCCGTACGTAAGTTTAGTGTTTCTGCTCTCCTTTACCCTTTAAAACGTGCATGTGTTTTTTTAGACGTGTATATCTCTCTCTCTCTCTCTCTCTCTCTTTTCTTCTCTGCCTTTTTGTGTGTGTCGTCTGGTTGTGTGAAGCTTTCTTTCTACATGTGGCTATCTATTCTCTGCTTCTTTTCTCTAGTCTGTTGTTATGCATGATTGGCATTTCTATGCTTCCTTGCAGTCGAAAGGAGATAAAGGTGCTGTACCTTCATCTCTTTTCTCTGCCCGTGTGAGTGTGTGTCTTTGCATGGCTGCATTTCTGCTCTTCTCTTTTTTTTTTGCATGTTTTCGTCTGCTCTTCTGCGCCTTTGGTTTCTGCTCGTGCGTCTTTGGCTTTGTTTCTTTTCTTTTCTTCTGCTACTTGCATGCATTTCTGCTCTGTTTCCTTTGCTTCTTTTGTGACGTGCATTGCGGTCACAGCTTGCTTTTAGGGTCTTCTCTGCGTGTGTTTCGTGTGTGCATGTTGCTGCATCTGGCTATGTGTTTTGCTTTCTTCTTCTTTTCCATCATGCAGAGCCTGACCGAGAAGGATTTGTTTCTTTTGGCTTTGGTGAAATGCTGGCTGTGGTGAAACGCTCAAAAGTTAGTTCCAATATTTTTAAATGGTTGAGATAATTTGAGAGAGATTTTTTAAGATTTAACATTTTTTTTATTTTGTTAAATTATTATTTTTTTTGAAAATATAATCCTAAAAAAGGATTAAATTTTATTTTTATATTTTAATATTTTTTAGTTATTTATTATTATTTTTATTAAATTTAAAAAATGTCTGGACAAAATATAATGTTCACAATACCATTTTATTTTTAATTCTATATATATATAAATATATAACACTAGATATAGGAAGATCAATTTTAAATCATTTATTTTTCCCTTACTATTCTCAATCAAGATATTTTCAGGTGATGGAATCCAAATTGAGTTAACTTAAATATTTAAGCCAATAAATAAAAGTTTGAAACACCCTAGATTTTCTCTTGAAACGAAACACCGAGTCGTCGACTTCACCAACTCTACTCTTTTTCAGATGCAATTAGGAATGGGAAACGACATTTAAGTCCAAGAGATTGATTAAATAACAGTTAATTAGTACTCCTTGATAGTTTTTTTTTTTTTAAAAGAAACAAGCCGGAAATATTGATTCAGACATTAGTAAATAAAAATGTTAATTATTATAAATTGAGAGTAGTTCTATATATATTTAACTTAATGTCTTATTATCATTGAAATTTCTAAATTTACAATTACATATCTAAATCAAAATTTGCAACCCACTCTTTAAACAAATTTATCAGGACCTGGAATCTGATTGCCACTCCACATTTAAGCACAAACAAACCCTTCAGGAACTTTCTTCCCACAAGCATTAACAATCAAACTAACAGCAACAGGCAGCTTGAGATTGACTATTCCCAGAACATTGGCTTTAATGGCAGTGCACAGACACAGAGCAGCTTCAAGATCTGCAAGACCCTTCACAACAGTACAGCATTTCTCGCTTGGTTTGCTTCCAATAACCTCAGTGACTAACCCTAACCAGCTTCCACAAACCCCAAACTTGAGAGTATCTTTGGGGCATTTCTCAGATGAAGAAGAAGAACAAGTGCTTGAAGGGCATGGGAGATTATTGTGGCCTACCACACAAGTGAAGAAGAAGAAGATAAGGAACGTAGAGAGGATAATGTTTGCAGATAACTTCAGATTCATTTTCTCTCACTCACTTGAAGTTATGTTATGTGACTTGGAATTATTTATAGCTCTAAAGGGTGTTATTACTGTAAGTATAGGATATACACTCTTGTAGAAGTTGTGGCTAAGATTGAAACGTATATGGATATGTTTGCTGATTTTGATCCTTGTGTGGTTGCCATCAAACAACAGAAAACACGAACTTTAATTTTTATATCAAAGTCATTTTTTCTAAAAAAAAAAAGAATCAAAGAAAATTGTTTGATGAGAGAGAATAACATTGAGCATTAGAGGATAGAATACAGGGCACAATGCTAAGAAAGAAGCTAAGGTTAGTTCATTTTATATGTTTTATTTTATATATCATTGTAGAATTCCCATCCCCCCTCTCCCCAAAATTTATTCCATTTCAACTTCAAAATATCAATATAATCAATATTCAATAATATATATATATATATATATATATTAGTTTTTCAAGGTATCATAACAGCTGCCAGTTATTAAAATAATTTTTTTTAAAAAAATATGAGTATCATTTAAGAGGTTATCTAATCATATGAAAAAAGGGATAGGGCTATGTGTGAAAATTTCAAGACCTTAGGCAAAATCATGTAATTCATGAATTTCCATATCATTATTATATATATCTTGTTAAGCTGTAAAATTATCTATCAGTATTTTATAATAAAATAATTCTGACATTTTACTCTCAATAAATAATACACTTAATCCATATAAATTATGAAATGAAAGCAGCAAATTTTTAGACAAATTCACATATTTATTTTAAATTTTCAAATATTTTATTTCTTATTTAAGTCTAATTTAGTATTTTGGTCATTTAATGTCATTATCCCTTCTTCAATACACACACACATACATATATATTAATATTGTATATTTTTGATGGAATTTAGGCAATTTTAGATATAAAAAAATTCCAATGGTATATTGTTATTGATATCATCAATAATATTTTATAAATTAAACAAAAAATATATAGTTACCTTTTATATTATTCAATATTTCCTATTGAAATAATACCCCATTCTCAAATACTATAGAAAAAGATAATCAATTTACACAGTTTAAAAAATTAATTAAATATAATGATTATATTTAAATTAAAAAATTGGGACTAAATTATTTTTTTAATTAATGAAAAAAATTTATCTAGTGAAAATAAATATCAACTTTATGAGGGACAGTTATTTGAAACAAATGTGATAAATAATAGTTGACTATTCAAAGGCTAATATTTGGCAAACATGATGATAGAACGTAGAACAACTATGCAACGTTTTCCACACAATTGTCAACTATTGCAATCTTGAATTTGAATTCAATGATTATGCTTAGTATTATATTATTTGAGTTATTGAAATTCATATCAATAATTCAAATACACTCACTCATTTATTAATTTTAAGTGAAGTATAAATTTATAATCCTTAATATAAATTTTAATGGTTTAAATGATATAGGTACTCAACGCTTGTATTAAGTATAATCATCGAGTCTAGATTCATTGCATCTCACTAGTCAACGGCATTATTTTTTAGGCATATATTCAACTTGTTATCTTGGAAATGGCCCACCGTTAGAACATTCATTTAGGCAATCAACAGTAACAAAAAGTGTTTTCCGAATAAACAAGTTTCACGAGAAGGTATAAAATTCATTAGTGTTTCCCGGTTACACAATTTTCAGTATCAAATTAATTTGTATTATGTATGTATATATAATATATAACCAAAATAGTGACAAAATGTTAAAACATAATCTTGTGCTAAATCTATATATATATATCCCGCAACTCAATTTTGAGTACGTAGTTAAAACATTTTTCATTTGAAATTCATTTTTAATGAATGAATTGTATTTAAACAAACATTTGAGTCCCCTTTATATTGAAATAAGTGATATATAATTTGTGAAACATTATGAAAATAGTGATCAAATATCATTCGATTTTTTTTATTTGCTCAAAGGTCATTTTTATGATATATATATTTTAAAACATGTATTTTGACAACGAAAATTTTTTGATCTGATGAAATTAAAGCAAATCTAGATCATTCAATTTTTTTTATAAGACGGAAAAAAAACTAGACCATTCAATTTTACCAAAAATAATTAAAAAAAGAAAAATACTAACTTATGATAAATATACCTATAAAGTTTCAATGGTTTTTTTTTTTTTAATGCACCTCATCAAATTTCCAAATCTTAAGTGCGCTTGTTGAAATTTCAGTTATTTGCTGCTATCATATGCTTGATATATCTTTTAAGTTGAGTATGATATTGATATGCTCATTTTATATTCACTTCATTATTTACTCTTGTTTTTTTTTTTGAACAACCCTACATCAAAGATTTAATTTGAATATTTAAACGCCAATAGTTTATTGCGTCCAATTTAAAATTTATCTATACATGACATAACGACATTTATGGCCCGTTTATTTAAGATTAAAAAATAAGTTATTTTTAAATAATTTAAAAATTTTATAAAAAGACATTTATTATGTAGAAATGGTAAAAAAAGAAAACACTATTTTATATATTTGATTCTAATGATACAAAAGTAATTATTAATTAATTATTTTTAAATTTTATAATATCTTCTTTGATTTTTTCATAAAAATATAATGATGTTTTATTTAATTATTTTAAAATTTTATGATATCTTTGCCTATTTTACCTTTTTAAAATATTTTTCTCCTCAACTGTATTAGATAATTTTCAGAAGCTACTCAAAGTATTTTATTAAAATAATAAAAAATTTACTCTTTTTTGAGATTCTGATTATTTTTAAAAGTTTAAACAAACATTATAAAAAAGTCATAAAATAATTTTTTTTTCAAGAAATAAATGATTTTTTTATAAAATAATTAAGCTGAAGCAAACGGACATTTAATAAAGTCAGTAAAAATAAGAACTTTTGCACATATAGCCTATTTAATAGAATCAAACAAAGATAACAACCCAACATTTCAAATATTTTGCAATGTGGTTGGATTAATATTTAAGTTAAATTGAAATGATAATAGTGCCCTTTCTCCTGAAATCTGAAATTTCCTTTTCATTTTTAAATTTAAAATATATTATGTCCACTAAGCTAATGGTGAAATATTCAAAAGTGTTCAAATATTGAAGCAATATATAGTTGTAAATGGGTTACGATCATTCAATTATAGGTAAAACTGCACCCCAATTGATTGCAAATGGGCCACATTCTAGAATTTTAAAAAATTTCTTCCATAATTTTTTGTTAATATATTTTTCACAGCCATTAACCTACTTTACTCAATAAAAATATAGTCTTACCATATGCTCATGAGACATTTATGGTCCATATATCCAACATATCCAATAATTTATAGTATTTATAAGATCAAAACATACTAGATATACAAACAATCATAAAAATGACATTATTTTTATGATATTAAATTTCCTTTTACTTGTCTGTCAATATAATACAAATATTTGAATTTTTTGTTAGATAATGGTTCTTAATTCAATGTGATTGAGCTTTCACTTTGTAAATGGCTTCGTCATTAATCCTCATATTGGTTTGAATTTTTGTGCTTGATAAATATGATAGCCACAATTTTTGACTGAAATTTCAACTAAGATCGAAGAATAGAGGAAATAAAGGAAGTGGAGAGAAGCAACAAATCAACAATAAAGAAAAAAGAGCTTTCACTTTGACTTATGCATGCGATGGCATTTCAGGAAGATGCAAAGAAGCTGCAGACGAACTATTCATTTTCTCCTCATGTTTATTCACATAAATAAATTCATATACCTTTCCCACCAGAGCAATCGATAGCTTAGCAAGAAGCTAGAAAGCCAATTATTGCTCAGAATTAAGCTTAGCTTCCATGGAGAAAACAATTCACATAGCTGTCATTCCCAGTGCAGGGCTCACCCATCTCATCCCCATCATTGAGTTCTCAAAGAAAATGCTTCAGCTTTGCCCAGATTTTCATGTTACCTGCATCATTCCCACACTTGGGTCTCCTTCCTCTGCCACCATAGCCTACCTTCAATCTCTTCCTTCAAATTTACACTACAATTTTCTCCCTCCGGTTCATGAAGAGGACATTATGCCTCATCAAAATGATCAACCAGTTCATATTGCAGTCCAAATTCAACGTGTAGTGACTCTCTCACTGCCATATATTCGTCAGGAATTGGAGTCCTTGAGTTCAAGAAATGGCCTTGCAGCTTTAGTTACTGATACTTTTGCAATGGAAGCATTAGATATTGGTTCAGAACTCAACATATTATCGTATGTGTACTGCCCCTATTCTGCCATGGCTTTATCTCTTTTCATGTATGCACCAGATCTGGTGGAGAAGACAATCTCTATGGAGTTCAGAGACTTGCAAGATCCCATAAAGATGCCAGGTTGTGCGCCAATACAAGGAAGAGATCTCATAGACTCTGTTCAAGATCGAAGCAACTTAGTTTACAAGCAATTTCTTGAACGTTGCAGAAGACTCAATCATGCTGATGGAATTCTTGTTAATAGTTTCCCAGAATTGGAAACTGAGACAATTAAAGCCTTACAGGAAGGTTTCAAAGACAAGCCCCAGATTTATTCTGTAGGACCTATTTTACAAAGTGGGTCATCAAGTAGTGAGCCACATGGATTGGAATGTTTAAAATGGTTGAACAATCAACCACCCAGATCTGTTCTCTATGTTTCATTTGGGAGTGGAGGAACACTGTCTCAAGATCAACTCAATGAACTGGCTTTAGGGTTGGAACTAAGTGGTGAAAAGTTCTTATGGGTTGTGAGAGCCCCAAGTAATTTTGCTAGTGCTGCTTATCTTGCTTTAGAAAATAAGAATCCATTAAATTTCTTACCAGAAGGGTTCATGAAGAGAATCAAAGAGAAAGGTTTAGTTATTCCTTCATGGGCACCTCAAATTCAAATACTTAGCCACAATTCCACTGGTGGATTTTTGAGCCATTGTGGTTGGAATTCTATCCTTGAAAGTTTGCAGAAAGGAGTGCCATTGATAGCATTTCCTTTGTTTGGAGAGCAAAAAATGAATGCTGTTTTGCTAACGGATGGTTTGAAGGTGGCATTAAGACCAAAGGTTAACGAAAAGGGCATAGTGGAAAGGGATGAAATAGCAAAATTGATAAAGAGTTTGATGGAAGGGGAAGGAGGTAAAGAGATTCATGAAAGAATGAAGCATTTACAAGATTATACTGCTAATGCCATGAGAGAAGATGGTTCTTCTGCAAAAACACTCTATCAAGTAGGACTCAAATGGAAAAATTTGGGTGGGATTGGGGAATGATAAAATTCTCTTTTGCTACCTATTCTTCTTTATTTAACATTCAATTTGGTTATTGTTAGAGCCACGAATGGCCAGTTTTCTTCTTAACCTAAAATATCTATGAACTTATTTTTGTACTAGATATTATTTTCACCGTTTTTATATTCTTTATCTTAATTTATTTTATTTAATAATCTTGTCTCATTGTATTATTTGGTGTATGACTGACCAGCATTGAACATGATTTGGGGGGTTTGGGTTTGAACTTGTCAAAGTGAGTCCTAAATTGATCTTGGGATTAAATAATATGAAATTAGATTTTAATGCAATTTAATTTGCACCTAGAATAGACATAAAGTTATTGTGGTAGATTGCGCCTGGTGATTAATTGTGTGACATATTGCAAATTATTAATTGATGTATATGTAGGTCTATAAATGGATAAGATCTAAAAAGCAAATAGAGATTAAAAGCTCTAGGTTGCTATTTATATATTATCGTTGCTTTGTAAAGAAATTTACAATTACTGTTGTAATTGAATTCCTTACACTCGATGACTTCAAATTAAATTGCTTAAATGAAAAATGAGAATTCGATTGCCCTAATCACTATTTTAATTTATTCTTTGTGAGAACGATTGATAAATAATAATTTTATATATTTTTATCCTTTTAATTTAGACTTTTAAACATTTATTTGAGGCTAATTGAGTTTAATTAGATATTATTTTATTTTATTAGCCAATATTCAATTTTAAAATTTTAATTATCTAAATTTATGATTTTAAAATATAAATGATATTTTTAATATTTATGCACATATATTATTTAATTTTATTTTATTTGTGCAGATTTTTTAGATTCAATTTAAAAGATATTGATAGAGAATATTTTGGATAAGAAGAATCTAGATATGCTTGGAGATCAAATTAATAATTAAATCTTTACAATTTTGTTTAAATTTTTTTTGCATATTTTAGTGTAGTTTTTAATTAGGATTATTCAGGATAATTTAATTATTTTAGTAAATTATTAGATTTTATTTTGTTTTGGAAGAGACGTAGCACAAAAGGTGCATGACCTTATATATATATATATATATTATATAAATGAAAGAGACGACTTGGATGATTTTGGATGGAGGCATCATGGAAAAAAAAAAACAGTGTAGCAGTGACCGCAGTTCACTTTTTCTTTAATTTTTTTAGTGATGGTTTGTCAATTTCTCATCTCATATTTCTTAATTTTTAATTCTATGAATAGTTAATTTTTTTGGTGTGATCAATTACAAACTATGATCCTAAATTTTAATCAAAGCCTTTGATAGTTAGAGAAGATTTTATTCTAGCCTTATTCTAATTTGCTCTTCTTTTTTCTACCTCTAAATTTTGTGCTTTAACTGCTATTGTTAATTAGAGTAGTTTTACTGCATAATTTTTGGGTTATAAATTTTATCTAAGGTTTTACTTGCTATAATCGATTAATATAGTAATATAAGAGTAATTTGGCCTAGTTTGGGTAATTATTCATGCTTTATTTCTGGTATGGCTAACATAAAACAGTTGTTAGGTTGTGGGTTAAGGAAGATTTTAATTAATCTATAACTTAATTTCTTGTTTAGTTCTTGAATGATAATTTGAAAAATATATAATAAAATTAGAATAATAAAGTTAAATAAAATTAATTTAATTTGTGGACAAGGAAGATTAAATTTAGGTGATTGGGTTGTGATTGATTGTGCTTGACAATTTTCATAGTTAAATTTCCTCTCTTTATTTATTTCTAATTTAGTTTTTAATTTCATCATAAAAAACCCCCACTTTTTAGCTTTTCATAATCATAATTCAAATAGTTACTCTATTGACTCTTAGGGAGACGACTTAGGTTGTACTTTACTGTAAAATTTAGTTTTTATTAATTTTGGTGCTATTCGACAATAGTGTCAAAATTTTGGTGCCGTTGCCAGGGAGTCAAATGTGTTAACTTTTTGAGTTTGGTTGTTAGTTTTTTTTTCTTTTTTTCTTATTATTTTTATTTTTTTCAAGATTTATTATTATTTTTTTCTTTACTTGTTTTAGGTGTTTTTCATTGTTTTTGTAGTTTATTAGTGCATGAAAAGGTCTTTTCAAAATAAATTAATTGATTTGAACTCTGAGATTGAGAGAACTTTTTGTAATAACCATAAGAATCAAAAGCAGTGTAAAATTAAGAATAGTGTGATTTCTAAAATTTTATCTGAATTGATTGATAATGTTATTAGTAATTCTAAATCTGACTTTGACTCTACAGTTAAGTTGAAAAATATGGATGAAAATAATAATGGTAATAAGACAATTAAAGAATTGGCTGCCCCTAATATGCACTATCAAAATTTATGGATCCAATATCCTAATTTAGATGTAAATGCTAGTTTTGAATTGAAATCTGGTTTAGTACATTTGTTACCTAAATTTCATGGTCTTGCAGGAGAGGACCCGAACAGACACTTGAAGGAATTTCATATTGTGTGCTCCACCATGAAGCCTCAAGGAGTTTCAGAAGAGTAAATCAAATTGAGAGCTTTTCCTTTTTCATTGGATAGAGTGGCAAAAGATTGGTTGTATTACTTGCAACCAGGTGCCATTACCTCTTGGGATCAAATGACACTGTTATTCTTAGAAAAATTCTTCCCTGCCTCTCCCACAGCAACAATTAAAAAATATATTTATGGGATTCATTATATGATTGGGGAGACATTTCATGAATATTGGGAGAGATTTAAGAAATTATGTGCAAGTTGCCCCACCATCAATGATCAGCAGCTAGTTCAACATTTTTATGAAGGTCTCTTACCAATAGATAAGTGGTTTGTTGATGACGCAACTGATGGTGCTTTGGTAGAACTTACTTTAACTGATGCCATAAATCTCATTTCTAAGATGGCAATGAATTCTCAACAATGTGGGACACGAGCTAACCAAGTAGTCAAAGGGGTGAATGAGATTCAAACACCACAATATGATCTTAAATTTGAGAATAAGATGGAGGAGCTCTCTAGCATGGTTAGGCAGATTGCCTTAACACAATAAAAATTAATAAATTCACTAGCAATGCTTACTTTTCCACAGGCGTATCCTTCATAGATGTGTGCACAACCTCAATTTTATAATCCTCAGCAAGCTACCACATCTTCTGCTTTAGTTAGGCCTCTATGTGGCATCTATTGTTTGGCTACACACACTACTGATTAATGCCCACAGTTGGATGATAGAGTTGAAAATTGTGCTGAGATTTTTCCAACTAGACCTATGCAACAGGGCCAAAAATATGATCCTTTCTCCAACATTTATAATCCAAGGTGGAGAGTGTTGCTCATCGTAAGTGCATGGGTCGTAGCAAGTAATATAAGATGAATAAAGTACCGTTTTCTCGAGGATTTGTTCAAAAACAATGATCAAACAAAAGACTAAGTAAATTCAATTAAGTTAAGCCACACATAATTAGGTGAAAATAATTTCGCAAATGAAACTTACACTAAAAAATAAAGAAAAGTGATTGATTTATAAAATTCAAACACAAATTAGGACCTAGGATTATTTATCTCTCTTGCATTTCACAACACCACAATTACCTCCTCTCATAAACGCTTTTAATGAAAATAAGTGTTAACTTAGGGTTTTAAAAATACTTGAATAAGCTCTCTCAAGTCATGAACAAGTGTTTAGTTAAATTAATTGCCCAATCTCTTATTACAATTAATAAAACTCAATTTTAAACACCAACCCTAATGTGGCTATGCAAGGCTAGCAAATATATCTCTATCTTACTAGCAAAACCATCCATTCAACATGCAAATATCAAGTTCTTGTACTATTTTACCTAAATTCTACACTTAACCTAACCCTCTCAAGCATCAATTAAGTGAATCCAATATTTAAATGGTGGCCAATCACTTAGAAGCATTAAGAAAAGAGTAAAATAAACATATATATATCATTAATCATAAAATGAGAGGAAGAACATAATGTTAATCTATACAAGGGTTCCAAATAATCCTAGAACAAAGGGTTTAGCCACTCATAATCATCCACAAGTTACAAATATACAAAATAAGTGGACCCTTTTTAGATTACAAGATAGGAAAGGGAAGAGGAATAGAAAAACAAAGAAGAAGAGTTCCAAATGTCTTTAAAGCTTCAATCTCTTGATCCCAATTCTTCCAATGCCCAAACCCTAGCACAACCAAGCTCTAAATGTGTCTAAAAGTCTGAAGAATGTGTTCTAGGTCGAGCTCTTAGCATATATATGTCCTAGCCAACCAATTTATGATAAATGAAATGTAGCATTTTTTTGACAGTGGCGAAATTCGTGAACGAAAGTCACGACTTTGGAATGACTTTGGCAGTTTTGCACTATTTTTGCAGCTAACGAAAATTATTCATTTTGTACTTGATTTCTTCATCCAAAAGCCTTCCAAAAACATTCACAAAACTCCAGAAATGCTTCTAATCAAAATTTAGCCAAAATAACATGAAATTAGGCCAAAAATAACAAATCAAAGCTAAGAATACAAACCCAAAATAAAATACACACTTTACTAATTTGGGCAATAAAAACATATACAATTGAGCCAAATGGATTATAATCTAAGAAAAATGTGATGAAATAACATGCAATTCTAGAGGTTAACAGAGTGATCACCCTAATTTTAGATATGGAGGAAGTCAACAACACCAATATAATGCTACAGGTAAAAATTCATAGCCTATGCAAGTAATAAGGCAATCTACTCCTGTTTAAGGGTCTAAAAATGATGGACCAAGTTTGGAAGAGTTAATGAAGTAAATGGCAACTAATAACATTCAATTTCAACAATGCACTGAAACAGTAATCCAAAAATTGGAGAATCAAATTGGGCAGTTGTCCACCTCCATTAATGAATTAAAGATTCAAGGTTCTGAAAAGTTGCTGTCTCAAATAGTTGTAAATCCTAATTGCAATAATGTTAGTGCCATCACTCTTAGAAGTGGAAAGGAGCTTCTAGAGCCCTCCACAACATCTATCGAGAATAAGTCGGTTGTAGCAAAAATACAAGTCACACTTGAGGAGTCTAATGAAGAAAAGGAACCAAGGAAGATCCTTCCATTTCCAAATAGGGAGACTTAAAGCAAGAAGTTAAAGGAAGTTGAATTGGAGAAAGAAGTGCTTGATGTTTTCAAGAAGGTTGAAGTCAATATTCCCCTTTGGGAGGCAGTAAAGCAAATTC